AAGAGATGAAATTGGTTTATAATGAATCCACAATCCATTTTCAATGCTAGTTTGTGTAGACGGTAGTGCAAACAAATCCAATTCTGACTTAACGCACTCGCAAGAATGATTATGAAGGAAAGACATATTTAGTTTGAAAATATATCTTTGATATTTTTTGGTTTTAGACTAAGTTTTTTCGCAGCTTTCACTTTAGCAGTTAATGGTGGAATGAACGATGTCAATCGTTTTCTTTTAGTTTTATACCCAGATCCAGTCATGTTAAATTGATCAATTTTCTCATCAGCCTTTCGTTTTAAATTCGTACTAACTTGCTTTAGACGATCTTTTATTGAGGCTTCCATAGGACGGGCTTGAACCATATCCGATAAAAGTCCTACTCCAGCGCTTAATGCCTCCTTACCAATCACTCGAGCACCACTTGAAAGTAAAGGTAAAACTGATCTGAATAACCCCCCTAAGAAGCTCCCAATACCATGACCGCGTTGATATGGTGAACCCTTATAAATTACTCCAACTCCTGATCCAGCTTGATGTGTATAATAATTTTCATATGGACATTTATGATGATCACGAAGAGAATTCATTATTATAATTTTCGGAAATGTAGTTTAATACACACGGTTCCAAACTGGAATGGTATTTTTTGTCCTGTACTCGATCTTATAACTATTTCCAACGTATCGAACTCTCTTCGCATAACAGGTAAGTAGTGAGGTTGAGAGAAAACGTGCATTTTATTTGCACCATAAATGTATTTTGTAGGATCTAATGAAATGACTCTTAATAAAGGAGTCATAACATCACCCACAATCTGAGGATCGATAATGTCGCAATATAGAAATAGTTGAGATGGTAACCCTAAGTGTAAATTAGCAGGACACTTTCCAAAATTTCTCTCTAGGAGATTTTTATTTGGTTCATAACCTAGCTGTAAACTTAATTTGGGTGATAATGTTACGGATGTTATATTTTTATCCAATACCGAAATAGACACAAATTTTGTTATTTCATCATAGCGAAATTTCAAGTTCTCTCCGATACCATTTAACACTCTTAAAATATGCTCAACGTTATCATAGTTGGTAGCTGGAATATGTTTTTTGTAGTACACTGTGGATGGCTTATCTTCATTAGGCATTAACATAGATTTTGTAATGTATATAACATTTTCATGGTCTTGAACAGTAAACATGGTACATGGATATTGAAACTCGACAACTCCAACCGACCATTCACCTTCTAATTTTATAGCTTTTGGTAATTTCGTTGAAAAATTTGTGGTCTTGTTATCAGGAAAGTATTCCATTGAACTATTGCTGAGCAAAGTTAAATAGAAACTTTCTTTATTCATATTTCTTTTAAACTAGATGCTAAAATCCAACTGTTAAATTTATCTGGATAACCTTTCCACTTCACTAATACTTCTTTTCTGTTACTTGAATAACGAGTGTCAATTATTTTATCTATTTTATGTTGTGAGGTGGGGTTGTAAGTGATTTTCTGTAATTCTCTTTCATAAAAAGTACCAATTATTGGTTCATTTTGTAAATCTGTTATTGTATAAACAACCCATGGAGATCTATCAATTATTGAAGATATAATAAATATTTCATCACTCCAATTTGATTCATATCCTTTTTGGAATACATGTTTATATTTAGTTATTCGAACATAATCACCCACATTGAAATTTGGTTTAGGATTTTCTAAAGAAAGTTTTTTTGACCGTCTATCATAAAGATTAGTCCAAACTGTCATAATATTGTTGGAATTTACATCACATGGGCACATCTTAATACTAGAGTGAAAGCTGTGATTATAAGAGTATATTAAATCTTGTAAAACATCTATATATCTATAAGTATTATTATGAGTGAAATAACGCCACATTTTCATTTTTAGTGTTCTTTGAAATCGTTCAACAATACTGGCCTTAATGTCAGGATTGTTAGTGGTATAGTAATTAATCTTTTTGGATTTAAAGTATTTTTGTACATCTTTTGAAACAAATTCTGTACCTTTATCGGATTGTATGTGAGTAGGTGTTAAATTACTTTCAGTAAATATACTTTCAAAACATTCTTTAGTTGTTTCTGAGTTTTTCTTTTTCATTGGTCTTGCAAAAGCATATTTACTAAATACATCAATAATACAAAGTATATACTTGAAACCATCATTATATTGAGAATAAGTTCGCATATCACTTAAATCAGCTTGCCACAGTTCATTAATATTTGATAGAATGTACCTATTACGCGGGAATTTTTTTCGAATGGGTTTATGTAATGTGTATGTTTCTTGTGATTTTAACCATTCCTTTACTTGCTTTTTATTCATTTTACCCTTCATGGCTTTTGATAATTTATCAATACTACCAAAACCAGCGGGATTAGATGGATCATAATAAATCCTGTTAATTTCTTCTAGTACGGAGTCCATTTTTCCCACTCAAGTCCTTTACGTATTTTAGTTGTAGACTTTTTATCTCTACTGCACGGTGTAGAAAACTCTTGAACTTCAATCTCAGAGGGTTTGTTCAGATCTTTTGCTTGAAGTTGGTTAATAAACTCACATCTCCTTGGATTTCCAATATAAGTAAGTGGTACTTTAATATCTTTTAATGCTTCAGCAAATCTAACCCACCCTACCGGATCACTTCTTTTTAGGGGTCTTAGTGAATCATTTATTAAATCAACAATATTACTTCCAGGAATTTTTTCACTATCAATTATGACTGTACCTTCGTTATCCCAATGTATTTTACTTTTACTTGTTTCAACTAAGTTTAATAATAACTGCCCTTTTTTATGATAAGTTTTTGGTATTAAACTGAGTATTTGAGCTGGTGTGTAAAGTGGATTTTCATCATTTTCTTTACTTTTAATGGATCGATTCTCCTCCAGCAAAGATTCAATATCAACTGAAGTTTTTAGATCTCTATCTTTATTTTTAAAACCAATTTTTGACTCATTTGAATCTTCATTAGATGTATCAGAATAAATTGGTAATTTGAGTGGTTGACGATCCTCTTCGGTAAAATGAAGGTATCTTTGCAGTGTTTGTAAATATAATATCCATTTCTTTCGGTCTTCCGTCTTACTATTCATAATATTTTGCATTTCAATATCTAATCGAGATAAATTACTATTAACCTTATTTTCTTGTTTTAATTTTTCAATCAATCCAGGTTCGATAAGTATCATTTTCTTTGCATTTTCCATGTTAACTGGCTAGTCCACTCACTAATCCACTCAATATTGCACCTAATATTGTTGGTAAGAAAGCCCCTCCTTTTTGTATAATTATATTTTTTCTTAGTTTATGTTTACACTTACGTACTAGTTTACGGAGTATGTTTTTATGTTTATTCAATTTTTGTTTATCCTGATCTTTAAGAGGTACTTTTCCTTGTAAAACGTTATGAATACACTCACAAATACAGTTAATTTCTTCTTCATCACACGTTTTAAGTAATGCTCTTTGATATTTTGGTTTAAGCGTATGCAAAGCGGTTAGCAAATGTTTATACGTTGTGAGTCGACGATGCATCATTTAGCAATGATTTCAATTGTTTGATTCTTGGTGTATTTAAACTCTTTTGTGGGGACGTAGACTGTACAGAAACCATTAAATGGAAAGACATTTGTCTTGATACGACAAAAATCATTGGTATTCTGTTTTAAATCTACCATTAAATATCCATGCGCCTCTAGAGTTGCATCCCTGTAGGCATTTTCAATGAATTTTGGGTTATCTGGTGATACTTGTCTTGCTAAATATCTTATTTGAGTTTTATCTCGAGGGTTTTTAAAATATATTATATAACTTGAGTTTAAAGATATGTCTCTTTGTCCTTTACCCTGATGAAATAAATTTTGTGTTAGATAAAATACACTAAGATTCCTGTGATGACTACCTTTTGTAAATATATCCACAATTCTTCCATCGGACTCTCTCATTAGATCATCAATAATAACAAGATGTGGGTTTTCACCATCAAACATATTAAGATTTGGAATTCCTTGATGATAGTTAACATTTGGTAAATTATATAATGGTTGCATTTCATCAAAGCACCATGTGATCTGATTAAAATCACAATTACATATTTCTGTAACTGATTTTATGAAATTTGTTACAAAATTTGACTTCCCACACCCACTTGGTCCTGCCACAATAGCAGTGAACGGATGGATAAAGTGAAACATAACACACGTCTAAAGTTCAAAGGGGTGAAATAAAAAATGAAAGTGTTGGTGTAAACAATTAATATATATTCCAAAAATTATATAAAACAGAATTATCTGTATACTATTTCTAACACAATTAGTACATCATAATTTTACAATTAACTCAACCTCAAATAAATAGAAACAACAATTAGTACATCATAATTTTACAATTAACTCAACCTCAAATAAATAGAAACAACAATTAGTACATCATAATTTTACAATTAACTCAACCTCAAATAAATAGAAACAACAATTAGTACATCATAATTTTACAATTAACTCAACCTCAAATAAATAGAAACAACAATTAACTTAAATTATTTACAATAAAACAATGTTTAAATATGTAATAAACTACGTCATATTATAGTATTATCATAATTTTACAATCAATATAAATTTTTCTTAAACGCAGACATAAAAGTAAAAACTATCAACACTTAACGCAGTTTATAATGACCCCAAGCTAATGTTTCAATATTATTATCTAAAATATGTCTCTTTGTGTCATTATATGATAAACCTATCTTATTTAATTTTTGTGTGAAAATTGTGTGTTTAATTGATTTAAATCTAAGCATACTATAATATTGCACTTTTTTATTAAATAGAGAAGACTTATAACTATTCATTGTCATCTTTTTAGTGATACATTTATTTACCCCTTTTGCCTTGGCTATAGTCTTATTCTCTAAGTTAAAAGCGTACATTTTGGATCGTAAACCCACAAATTCTTTCATGATTTTACCATTATTTTCATCTTTAAAAAAAACCTAATTTCTTTTTATTTAATTTTGGATATTCAAAAATATTATTTGTATCATAATCTGAGGTATCAAAGTATGATGAAAGGTCAGGTTTTATATCAGTGTAAAAATCATTTGTAAATATATGATATATTAAACTATCCGTATCTGTATACAATAATTTGATTTTACTAAACTTTTTAATCATATAGTTATAATGAAAATCATACATTAATGTTTTTGAAATATCTAAAATGCAAAACCCTAAATAAATTGGTTTGTTATATATTAACTTCGTTTTTCGCAACTGAACCGCAACTAGGTTTTCCGAAAATATTGAAAGGCTATGAAATTGTGGTTTAGCGATTAGATCTTGAGCACCTAAAGCTTTACCCTGGTTCTCCCAGTGCGTAACTAATTTTATGTTAACCCTTTTTTCAATATTCTCCATAGTCTTACCGAAGACTGAATTATTCATTAATTTATAAAAATCTTTTTCGAAATCTGATTTTGCTAAAGTTCTTAATTTTGTGTTTAGATCTATGTACATCTTCAACCAGGGAGACTGTTTAAATTTTAAAACTCTATGAATTTTAGTTAATTTAACCCCCATTTCTATGCACTGCTTTAAATTTCTGTAATGAATTACATATTTATCTTTATTATTTAAATTTGGGACTAGTTTATTCTCATTAATATTGCCTACACAAATGTTTTCTGGACATAAAGGAAAGTCCGAATGTAAATCATGAAGTTCATCTGGATATTCCAAATCAACTTCTAAAATAAAACCGAAGTCTGATGTCTTAGACACATTAAATTCTGTATTTGGATTTACCCATTCGAATCCACCAGTAGGAAGATATTGAGACATAGCCCAACCATATAAATTGTTGGCATCAAAATATGTGATATATGAATTTGGTTTCCCTGTATCATAATCCTCCATGTATTTGTTATTAGCTCTAGCATAACGATTACTACATTGAGATACACCACCTCTGATACCTGATCTAATAAATGCAATTTTCTCATAATCTGTTAAAAGTTCTAATTCTATTTTTGTATATTTTAACATTGCATCCCAACTTAAACCGGGTGCTGTGTAATAATGGGCAGGGTCTAAATCATATGTATTAATACATAACTTTCTAAAGTTTTCAAATACATCGGATAAAAGTAAAACGTCTGTTTTTAAATATAGGTTTGAATAATCTAGCATATTACAACACCCAAAATGTTCCCAAACATCTTTAGCATGATTGTAATCATCATTTGAAATATGTGAATCTGTGAGTGAACTATAAAAACATTTTTGTTCAGGGAGCGATGTTAGACTTAAACTATCATAATTAGTCATAAGTTCATATGGATAAACACCTTTCCGTTTTAAACGAAAGAAATCTTCATCATTAGGGTAATTTCTACGTAATTCTTGAAATTGATCATTACTGAGATTTTTGGCCAATTCTTCTAATTTACACGATAAAAACTTAAATGAATCTAAGAATCTCAATATAATTTCGTGGTTATTCACTTTTAATTTTTTGGAAAAGGATATATATTTTTCTTTATTTTGAGGGATAACTTCGACTTCACCATCACAAAAGTTTAACGCGTGAACAATAAAATGAGCATCATAGTGACTAAGGTTGTGTAAAAATATTGGTATATAACTAGGTGTTCTGATCTTCGAACAACATGATTCATGAGCAACACCTATAAAACTACCAGTATACCAATCAAAATCATAAAAATGTTTTGCCAACTCAGTTTCACAAATATGACAAATGGTTGCATTTGAAATTTGGTTTTTGTCTTCATTTGTTAGCGGAAGTGGTGGATATTTTTGAAGTCTATTTATTTCTTTTAGATTGTTAGATAAACTTTCCATAAACACTTGTGCACAGTTGGGTCCGCAATATGTTACATATTTTGATAATTTATCATCATATGAACATTTTATATAATATCCAAAACTATGTACTTCATGTTTCTGAATATTATGAGTGAAAGGTTTGGAAGGATCGTTAGAACATGATTCTATTGGTTTTAAAAATGCTTCAAAATCAGCATAAACTACGAATGGTATCTTTAACTTTTTTTCATAACTATCAAATTTAATTTTATCATTTGAAATAGGTTGACCAAACCAATTCTTTTTTTTTAAAGTTTCACTGTTTGGTAATACTGTACAAATGTGGGCACAATCGTATTGTTCATGGTTATTTAACCTTTCCTGAGATGGAAAACGAAGTAGACATGCTTCACAAATGTACATGATGTGACCGTCTTTTGAAATTTGTTTACTAACTAACCGCGATAAATTTTTTATATAGCAATAATGATTTTTTGTATCCTTGGAAAAAAATAATAAATTGATATGTCTATCTTTACGACACTTTGTTAAAAATAATGGACCTACTATAGAATTACATCGTTTTTCTTTATTATATTCTAACCCAAAAACATTAATACTAATATCATTTAATTTCTCTACTTTTGCTATGTCAGAAATTTTAACCGGAAAGGAAATACCATCAAATTTAAGTTTATTTGCATGTTTAACGTACGATGATACCCGATCGGTGTGTTTGTTTACAGGATATAACGCCGAGAGTAACGCCCATTTAAAACAAAAATAATCCTTGTTTTTTACATTTATAACAGCCTTTTTTAATTTTATGTCACGAGGAAGATCTATGTATGAAGTACCGCGTAGGGGGTTAAATTTATTAACATTCATGTCTATAGATTTTATGTTTTTTAGACTCCATCCACTATCTTTTTTTTCGAAAGCACTAATTTTAGTAGTAATTGTATCATTTAAAGATGAAAGAAAAATATTTAAGTCATCTCCTTGACAAATAATATAGTTAAGCGTTTGAAAATCGAATGTATCATGAATATCTTTAGTTTGTTGAACAAAATCAGCATGCAATATGAAGTTTACCTTAAAAATTATGTGTTGATGAATACACTCTTGTAATAAAAATAAAATATCATCTTTAATAGAATTTAAAAATAGTTCAGGAGTTTCAAAATTTACCCATGTCGAACGATCTACTCTACTCTTGATTTTATAAGTTAAAATCCTATTTCCAAAAGCAGATTCAATAACACTAACGTTTGATAAAGAATTATGTGAATTTAAAAGATTATTTTTATGAACATTACTTTTAAAATGATTAGCTAAATACCGTTTCTTGATAAATATATGGCACGTTGGACATTCCACTTGATCATCGTTACTGATACTGTTCCCTGCAGAGGTATGCGCTTCTGCATCCGTTGTTGGTTTTTTGATGATCTTGGATTCTTTGCTGCACGTTCGCTTCGTTCCTCTTCCAAGTTGTAGTGGTTGACTGCTAAAATGTTTAAATTTATTAAAAACTGTATAAGACAATATGTAAATTATGATCGAAATGAATGTTTATTTTACATACTTAAACTGTGTTTCAACCATCGCACAGTGATGATACAACTCATCATCGTATGACGAATCGAACAGTTGACCCCTCTCCATTTCTTCACAAACTTTAGACAACTCCTGATTTAATTCGCTATTGAATAGTTCCGTATTCTCTTCCATGATTGTGGAGAAAAAAGCACTGGTGCACACTTCACTGAAGTTTTCCCTTCCTCTTTTTTATTTTTGATTCAGCTTCAAAAAAATGATCAATCGATTGCGATTTTCTTTTTCCACCATCGCATGTGTTATTATTAATGACGAGGTCATCACTCTCTTCTTGAGGGGAGAGTGGCGAGTAGTAATACTGTTTATAGGTATCTTCATCGAAGCTCAATGATTTCTGCAACAACACAGTTATCATGTTAATATCAATTTGTTAACACTTAATCATAAAAGTTTAAAAAGTTAAAGTTACAGCCTATTAAAGTCCACTGCTGAACATAGGCCTCCTCTCATTTCTGAGAGGGTTTTAGAGCAAGGAAATGTCCGCCGCGCTCCCTCAATGTGTGTTGGTGAACTTCACATGCCTTCGAAATTTTCTCAGACATGCAGGTTTCCTCACGATGTTTTCCTTCACCACCAAGCACGTGGTAATAAGCACTTAAAATTGCTATTAACAATTTAATTGGTGCTGGCGGGGATCGAACCCGGGTCGCGTACTGTGAAATTTACAGCTAGCGCTAACCATCTGAGTTACCACGGCTTAATCATATACATACACAATATTTAAATAAAATAATACACACACACATGAAAATAACAGAAAAAAAGTAATTTAGTCAATAGAATAAACACTTACATCCATAGCCTTTGGTGTATTGAAGTAACACAAATGTACTATTGATAGATCCACTGTAGCCAAACGACCGTACACTAACTCGATGACTGCGTTTGTTGGTCTTATATACCACCAGTACGTAAAAATTCTAATCTAAAGTATTTCCGTAATGAGTTGATAATTACTTTATGCGTCAACCAGTTTATCTCACATTTCCGTTGCCTATCTCAACATTTCTTCGTATTGTGTTTTGTTTGGTGATCAATGACTCAAGTACGATTTGTATAACACAAAAATGCAATTTAATATTTAGAAACATATCAGTTTATCTCACATTTCCGTTGCCTATCTCAACATTTCTTCGTATTGTGTTTTGTTTGGTGATCAATGACTCAAGTACGATTTTTATATCACAAAAATGCAATTTAATATGTAGAAATCACTATAATTGACCATTCCTATGTTATTCATTGAGTAGCTAGGTACTGTAATAATCTACTAATAGCAGTAATATCATGGATACACTAGATGTACAACAACATCTGAAAAAGATTCACCCCAGTCTAGAAAATAATGTTTATGCAGCTAATAGACTGCCTATGTATACCCACGTACCAACGTATATAATATGTAATTTGGATACAGATGATAAACCAGGGTCACATTGGGTAGCTTTATATATCGATACGAATGACGTCGGTCAATATTTTGATTCATATGGACGATCACCTGTACGATATCATCTAGAGTTTTTAAAAAGGAATTGTAAAAGATGGAACTGGAATGTTGATAGGATTCAGAATGAGTGGACTTCAGTTTGTGGCGAATATTGCTTAATGTATTTGCTATATAAGTTTCAAGGATGTTCAATACATAGTTTTACGAGTATATTTACAAGGAACACATTGTACAACGATATTTTAGTGGATGAGATGTTTCGCTCCTATTTTATAGATAATAATTAATAAGATTTTGTATTTTATAAATAAAAATTGTAACAAAATTATGTAATGTGTTTTATTGATGATTCAGATTAGCGTTGTATAATTAGGAACAAAGAACTATAACACAATAGCACTGATATAGTCGACGCACACGCTGCAATGAAGGTGATTAATGAACAATAGAACAATAGAAATAGGAACAACAATGGGACGCTAATGACGGTGGAGGCCCTTACCGGATATCAATTAGATATTAGCTAATTGATCTACACATCTCCGGAACCGTGCATTCTACACAAAAATGGATTCGTGATCAGAGCATGCCAAAACCTTTTTTTTTTTTGTTTTTTTTTTTTTTTTTTTTAGGATCGGATGTCGACGAACGTCGTTGAACCACGTCTGACTCAGGTGGTCTAGAAGTGGTACAACTACACTACTGGCATGCAACCGCAGTTTTTGTTTTTATTTCATTAATAGAAAGATGTTGTTGCCTATCTCCTGGTTTATATACCTCTGTCCCCTCTTACGAAATGCACGAGACGATATGCGGTAGTGAATATTCTTACCTCACTATTAACGGATCCATAAGATGGAGTGGTAATGGTCCTGCCACATATCTAGAAACACACATAGAAGAAAGGTTTTCAAGTGGTAGCCTCGTACTGGCAATGGAGAGTCCTCAGTACAGCAGTGGGCTATCGATGAATGATATATGTACCAGGGATTATAAAGGCGTTTTTTCGCGTATAACAAAAAAAAAGCTGGCTTAGAATGTGTAGAAGATGGATAAGCCCATATCCACTATATCACTACGTATTGACATAATTATTAATATCATCCTCTTAACTCCTCATGTGCCCGACCGATTTGTGTTTTGACGCTTCAAGTGTCAGGGTCCGTTTCGGAGATCGCGCGATACCGGTAGGCGCTAATGTAATCAATGGTATCTCTTTACTTTTGTATGCCAGCTATATATAAGACTTATACGCTTCGATTAGATATTTGATTCTTTTTTATAAATATTAAATTCTATTTTGTAATATTAACAATCTCATTTCAAAATTGCGTGACGTAATTTTGCCGGTTTCTTGTACATAAAGTGTATGTATTATGAAATTAAGCCATTATATAAAACGGTATTTGTTTTATTTGCTTAACAATATAAC